AGTACACGCAAACATAAGGTAAATGGCTGTAATTATAACCATAATTTTTAAAGGGATGGACCGGTAATCCATCGGAAGGCCTTGGTCAGGTGACCAAAAACTCCGGCTGTGGGACATCATATACCTAAGACCCGCGTCAGGAAACACTTGCACTGTTTCCTGACAAAGCTAACTTAACGTAGGAGTACACACACTTTACCACGAGCCTGGCTCATGGCCGGGCTCCGGGAGTAGGAAGACTCTCGAAACTCATCAAATATATATATCAGTACAAAAACACTTGAGACTTCCTGTCATTCTGGCTCCCCCCTGAATGTTTGGTGCAGCCTTCAACTAGTAATTTCATGTCGAAATGTTTTCGAATATATACCCCATGTTACGAGATGTTGCACGGGGGTCGCTCCTTGGCCACCTCCCTATTTTTCTGTTTTATCTCCTCTTATTCTCCATGATAGTTCCGTCTTAGTACAATATATATTGATGAAATAACTATCATCTATCGTGCTAGAACTTGTAATGTGCAGTAGCGTCCCCAGCCTTCAGTGTAACATCTTTGTGTAGTATGTTGCCACAAATGACTTCGAATGGTAATAGATGGCCCTCATTGAACATGAGGTAAAACATATCAACTATTTGAGTCTGGTGCAGAGCGCGTGAACATAATGCTGGGCATCTGGAGAGGTGTGATGCTGAGTACTCTCTTTCTCATTCTTTGTAATGCACTGATAAACAAGTAAATTTAGAATTGATGCTCTCCATTCTAAACGTACTTGATCGTATTCACAACTCGGCTCGGAGAGTCTCCGTTATAACCTTTAAACTTAGATTCTCGTATTTATCCACTTCACTGTTCCCGACTACTGACTGCACTGGGTATCCTGCAAGCTCGTTACCCTGTATTCCAGTTATTAACCCCTACATTACACAGACACACGTGCAGCGCCCATCAGCCTCAGTGATAATTCAATAGTATAGCATACCAGCAGTATGTAAATAAGACGCCGTACGGGTTATGGTACTTCATTCATGACGCTTCGTCCACCAGGAACTTTATCAGTTTACACAGAGAATAAGATTGCTATTTAAAGGGGTTGAAGGTGAAAGAATGAGGTCTTGAAGTTGCATGTGAGTAGCCAGCCGAGTAAGTAAGGTTAGGTGATCGTAGTCCAAGTATTGGGAGAATAAACCTCACCAAAACTTAAATATTGTAAATAATCCCCAGCTTTTATTAATGTTTGTGGCTATTACTGTGGATTCTGAGCATAATCTGCTGCGACAATCTCTTTGATGGTAAGCCTTGCTTCTCGGTGTTAATATGTAGAGTACATGCATGTCTAGTGTCTTCGTATTGGATTGCTCTTTTTATATTCTGTAACTGGTATCTAGGTCTCTGGAGGTTTCATCTGCATGTATCTTATTACAACCTCGACGCTGTATGGTGTAAAAGCCAACAATAGTGTTAATGGCTTTTCTTGATTAAGTCTTCAGTGATTTTAAATGGAACGTTGGTAACTGTGTTACTGGCTTTAGCTGATGTATTGGAAAAATGCTTGCTGGTTTGTTGACAGGAAGTACAGTGTATCTGAAGAATTAGACTCGCAGGCAGCAAAACCGGGTGGGTATTTTAAGACGTCTCGCCAATCAGTGGCTTTATCAGTTCAATACAGAGGTAATTAAAAGGCGATGAAACTGGAGATAACAGATAAAGTAATTAGTTGCACAAGTCTCATTCATCAGTCATTCCCTCGGCCATGGAAAGCTATATACATAAGACGGTGGAAGAAGAGGTAATCAATCCCATGGCCTGGTAGCCAGTGTTCGGCACTTTAGTGGTGATGAATCTTGAATTGATGGTCACTGGTTGGCTAACCGTCTTTAAGGGTTGCCAGGTGTTCCGTAATATAAAATATCTGCTTAGTGTAGTGTTAACATCTAGTTGCATATCATTACTAAATTGTTATACAGTATCTATTTAAAAATGTTTCTCCAACCAGTGGCTTTATCGATTTAATACAGAGGTTATTTGAAGGTGTTAATAAAGCCACTGGGTGAAACATCTTCAGATAAAGTTGTTGCACATGCATCTAACTCCTCACATTACATGGTATCTTCTCTTTTTTTCTTCATACAGTTGACAATGAAATATTGTGGGTAGTGAATTTTAGTGAAAACTTGATATACGTAATCATAGTCCTTTACGAGAAAAGTGATTCAGTCGAATGTTTACATATGTAAACTACCCCACCCCCCCCCCAAAAACATTCCCCCCACTTTTTTCTTCCTCTTCTCTTTTTCTTCTCATTCCTTTTCATTCTGCCTTTATTTTCTTTCCATTCTCCCCCTCCTCATTCTCCCCCTTTTATTCTCTCCCCTTTTCTTTTTCTCTCTTCTTTATTCTCTCTCTTCTCATTCTCTCTCTTCTTTATTCTCTTTCTCATTCTCTTTCCCTTCTTTCCTTTTCATTTCCCCTCTCTTCCAAATTTTCTTTTTCATTTTCTTTCTCATTCTCTTTCTCATTCATTCTCTTCCCCTTCATTCCTTTTTCCATTCTCTTTTTATTATTCTTTTCATTCTCCCTCCTTTCCCCATTTCCCTCTCCCATTCTCTCTTTTTTCTCATTCTCTTTCTTCCATTCTCTCTCTCTCATTTTCCCCTTTTCTCATTCTCTCTCTTTTTCTTCTCTCTCTTTTCATTCTCTCTCTTCTCAACTCTCTCTTCTATTTCCCCCTCTCTTTCTCTTCTCTCTCTTTCATTCTCTTTTTTTCTCATTCCTCTCTTTTCATTCTCTCTCTTCTCATTCCTCTTCTCTTCTCTTTCTCATTTTCTCTTCTCAAATTCCCCTCTTCTCATTTTCTTTCATTCTCTCTTCTCATTCTCTCTTCTCATTCTCTCTTCTCATTCTCTCTTCCATTCTCTCTCTTTTCTTCTTTTTCCCTTCCTTTTTTCCCCTTTCTTTTCATTCTCTCTTCTCATTTTCTTTCTTTATTCTCTTCTCATTTATTCTCTTCTCATTCATTCTCTTTTCATTTATTCTCTTCTATTTATTCTCCTTTTTCATTTAAATTTTCCCCTTTTCATTCTCTCTCTTTCATTCTTTTCTCATTCTCTCTCTTCTTTATTCTCCTCTTCCATTCTCTCTCTTTTCTTCTCTCTTTTCTTTCTCTATTTTCATTCTCTCTATTCTCATTCCTCTATTCTCATTCTCTCTCTTTAAATTTTCTCTTCTCATTCTCTCTCTTTCATTCTCTTCTTCTTTAATTTTTCCCTTCTCATTCTCTTCTTCTCATTCTCTCTCTTTCATTCTCTTTTCTTCTCATTCTCTCTCTTCTCATTCCCTTTCCATTCTTTTTTCATTTTCTTTTTTTCATTTTCTTTTTTCCCTTCTCTTTTCTCTCTTCTCTCTATTCCTCTTTCTCTATTTTCCCTTTTTTCCTTTGTTTTTTCTTTTCTTTTTTTCTCTCCTCTCTTTATAATTTTATATTATATTTTATTATATAATTTTAAAAATAATATATTTATATATTATTTAAAATATTTATAAATATATATTATATATATATATATTATCAACAAGTTTGGGCGTCTCCCCCCGGGCAGGGTGACCCAAAAAAGAAAAAAAAATCCCCAAAAAAAAAAATACTTTCATCTTTATTTAAAACCCTTTTTCCAACTCACACAATTTTCACGCTTTTGGGAGAGGTGCCCCAGAATATAACAGTTTTTTTTAAGCATTTACGTTTTTAAAGATACACAACTATCCCTCCAAACTGCCAATCCCCAAAAAACCCCCCCTTTTAAAATGCAGGCAATTTTTACTTCCATTTCCCGGGTTCAAGGGCCGACTATAAGGGAAAAAAAACCGGTTTCCCTGAATCCCCTTTACAAAAAAATTTCCCCCCCTCACACCCAACAATCGTCAGGTCCCAAGTATCATTCGTCCCCCATTCACTCCAAAAATATTTATATATATCTATATAAATATATATATATAAAATATTTAAAAAATATAATTTATATATTTTAAATATTTTAAAAATATTTTAAACCCACAAAACACCAACACACACCACACACACAGAGTTTTTACAAAGGGTTAAAGGTTTTTTTGCTTTATGACCCGCTAAATTTTCGGAAAAAGGGTTCCCAAAATTTATTGGCAACTAAGAGCTGTTAAACCCACATCTTTCCTTTATTTGAAAGCATTTTTTTTTTTGAGAAAAAAAAGAGGGAACCCGGATGAAGTTGGGGGCCATTGTGGGGGGAGCATTTTCATTTATCAAAATGACTTTTATTTTCGTTGGAAACCAAATTTTGCTGGTTTTTTTGTGTTTTTAAACCCCCATTTATCCTGGGGATATAGGATTTTTCAATGGAAATGATGTTTTGGAGGAAAAAGGGCCAAACCAAGTGAATTGCGCTTTTTGCCGTCTTGGGGGTAAAACTTGTTTTTACGCTGTCCTCGAAGTGGTTCCCAAATGTGGAAATTTGTCAAAATTTGGGCCCTTTTACATAACAGAAGGCCACCCACAGTCCCCTTGTTAAGGCTCTGCTTGGGAAAAGACAAAATTCTAAACCCGGGTGGGCCCGGGGGAGAGATGAACGTCTTGCTCGTTCTTACTGTCAAGAGTCCCCTCTCCTCTCTCTCATTTCAAATACAAGTTTTTATACGGCATGCATAGCACACAATTTTTTTAATGGCAGCATTAAAAAGGGCTGTAATTGCCCCGTTCATTGGGTGTGAGGGGGCTGGGCTTACAAGATTTAAATGGATACCTTTCTCAAAACTCAGTGAACATTAAAGCATCTAAATTTTGTCATTGGGGGACAATTTTAGAGTTCAGCTTTCCCCTTCAGTGTCCCCCTTGCTCTACCTTTCCCCGGCCACCAGGCAAACTGATGTACAGTTCCAAAGGTTTTTTGTTTTTTGGTTTATAAAAAAAAAATTTTCAATTTAGTTACTGTGTACGTTAAATTTTTTTACTTTGTATTTTTTTTTTCAGTTCCCCTTGAGTGTCATACACAACCACCAGCACAACTACCATCTCCAACACTGTCAGTACACCTCAGGTCGACTCCAATGATTGTGGTCTCTTCTCCTTCAGGCCTGCCTGCCTCCAGCGATTAGCTAATATCAAGGTAATATTTCCCCAAACATGTTAAAAATATTCTTGCAGGTAGAATGTCTGCCAAACTTGGAAAATTTAGTGGTTCTTTGTTATTTGACTTTGAGTGTGTTTAGCAGATGTCTCCTATAAAATTTTGCTTTAAGAATTAAAATATTAGTTAAGTACAGCAATCCTTAATTTTTCATGGAGGGTTATAGAACTTAATGCCATATCTGTGAATATCACTTGGTCCTGTTGATACCAGTAATCATATTATTCCTGTTTTTAGGCTATATTGTTCATAATAAACATATGAAATGCATCTGTACATTAGAGTATTGCTATATACACACACTCTGAATACAATTGTTTTTATTTAGTATATCTCCATTTTGACTTGCGACTGGGAATGAAATGATCCCATTAATATCTTAGTTTGTTTACTGTAAAATAATGTAGTACATATTTATATAGAGTATAGTGTATATAAATACAGTATGTATATTCTGTATGAGTATTAGTGTTGCACTGTATACTGTACATAAGTTTATACCAATGTTCATACAGGTACATATTTAATCATTCTTTGAAATGCCAACAGATCTTTGTATTTCTGCTGTCCATACTGGTAACTATTCAACAAGCTCTGGCATCAGGGTACCTCAACTCTGTCATCACCACCATAGAAAAACGATATGAAATCCCTTCCTCTCTTACTGGCGTTATCTCCTCTATGTACGAGATAGGAAATGTTATTACTGTCATTTTTGTGTCATATCTAGGATCAAAGAGACGGATACCTGTTTGGATAGGAGTTGGTAAGTAATATTGTAAATACTTGTTATAAAAATGGCTTATGCTGACAAATGAACTTGATAAATTAATGGTTCTTCTGTTTTTATTTTAATGTATTTGTGTAATTTTTTAGGCTGTTGTGTAATGGGAATTGGATCCATGCTCTTTATAATGCCCCAGCTTATAGCGGATCGCTGGTCTATTGAATTAGAAACAATCAACAACACAGATTCCAGTAATAATATTTGTCGAAATGCTCGAGTAAGAGATGACACCTCTGAACGCCTTTCAGAGTATGGCTTTGGAACTTTACCAGGTGAGTAGCATTAGACTTGGTGCTTAATCGTCAATTTTTAAACTCTTGATATTTCAAGAAGGTGCTGGACAGGCACCTGATCAGCTGGGCTGTGGTTTGTACATCATTTTGTGTGTGGCTAGCAGTAACAGCCTGGTTGATCACGTCATGAACCACTGAAAAGCCAGGTCAGACCAGGCCAAGGGGGCATTGACCCCCGAAACCCTCTCCAGGTATATTCCAGGTAGCTAAGTGTTTTATCAAGATGAGCTTTGTGTGTGTTAGTGTGTGTGTTAGTGTGTGTGTGTGTGTGTGTGTGTGTGTGTGTGTGTGTGTGTGTGTGTGTGTGTGTGTGTGTGTGTGTGCGCGTGTGTTAGTGTGTGTGTGTGTACTCGCCTAGTTGTACTCACCTAGTTGAGGTTGCAGGGGTCGAGTCCAAGCTCCTGGCCCCGCCTCTTCACTGGTCACTACTAGGTCACTCTCCCTGAACCATGAGCTTTATCGTACCTCTGCTTAAAGCTATGTATGGATCCTGACTCCACTACATCGCTTCCCAAACTATTCCACTTCCTGACTACTCTGTGGCTGAAGAAATACTTCCTAACATCCCTTTGATTCATCTGTGTCTTCAACTTCCAACTGTGTCCCCTTGTTACTGTGTCCAGTCTCTGGAACATCCTGTCTTTGTCCACCTTGTCAATTCCTCTCAGTATTTTGTAAGTCGTTATCATGTCCCCCCTATCTCTCCTGTCCTCCAGTGTCGTCAGGTTGATTTCCCTTAACCTCTCCTCATAGGACATACCTCTTAGCTCTGGGACTAGTCTTGTTGCAAACCTTTGCACTTTCTCTAGTTTCTTTACATGCTTGGCTAGGTGTGGGTTCCAAACTGGTGCCGCATACTCCAATATGGGCCTAATGTACACGGTGTATAGGGTCCTGAACGATTCCTTATTAAGATGTCGGAATGCTGTTCTGAGGTTTGCCAGGCGCCCATATGCTGCAGCAGTTATTTGGTTGATGTGCGCTTCAGGAGATGTGCCTGGTGTTATACTCACCCCAAGATCTTTTTCCTTGAGTGATGTTTGTAGTCTGACCCCCTAGACTGTACTCCATCTGCAGTCTTCTTTGCCCTTCCCCAATCCTCATGACTTTGCACTTGGTGGGATTGAACTCCAGGAGCCAGTTGCTGGACCAGGTCTGCAGCCTGTCCAGATCCCTTTGTATTTCTGCCTGGTCTTCGATCGAATGAACTCTTCTCATCAACTTCACGTCATCTGCAAACAGTGACACCTCGGAGTTTATTCCTTCCGTCATGTCGTTCACAAATACCAGAAACAGCACTGGTCCTAGGACTGACCCCTGTGGGACCCCACTGGTCACAGGTGCCCACTCTGACACCTCGCCTCGTACCATTACTCTCTGCTGTCTTCCTGACAAGTATTCCCTGATCCATTGCAGTGCCTTCCCTGTTATTCCTGCTTGGTCCTCCAGTTTTTGCACTAATCTCTTGTGTGGTACTGTGTCAAACGCCTTCTTGCAGTCTAAGAAAATGCAATCCACCCACCCCTCTCTCTCTTCTCTTACTGCTGTCACCATGTCATGTGTGTGTGTGTGTGTGTGTGTGTGTGTGTGTGTGTGTGTTTGTGTGTTTGTGTGTGTGTGTGTGTGTGTGTGTGTGTGTGTGTGTGTGTGTGTGTGTGTGTGTGTTAGTGTGTGTGTTAGTGTGTGTGTGTGTTAGTGTGTGTGTGTTAGTGTTAGTAATTAATTTGCTTATGTATTAATAAAAGGCTGTAGATTTGCAAGGGTCCCTGTGAGTTCGGAATCCTTCCATACCATTAAATATTACTTATAAAGAAGAATTGGGTTAAAATTTTGCTCATTTTTGTTTGAGGTTATATCTTATTAAATATTTGTGTAACTTCAAATATTAACATTTGTAAAGAATATCATGAGATAGAGATGGTGATAAATATATAGATAGATATATAGAGATGGAGCGACGGAGTTGCTCTTCTCCAAAGGGATGTTGGCAGCCAAGTGAAAGCCTTCACTGGACACATCCTTAATCTACAACAAGAACACATCCCTCACCGGCAATGTGACGAAGCCTACAGATCAGCCTTGGTTTGGCTTTTGTTGTAGAGAGGCTGCTGCTGCTAAGTACAAGGCATGGCGAAGGTATAAGAGACATCCTACCACTTATAATGGGAACTTACACAGGCAAGCCTTAGGCATATGGGTGAAGTTCAAAGGTGGGCCATTGCTAAATGGGAAGTGGACACAGAAAGAAAGCTAGCATCAGGTAGAGTAGGCTCCAAAACCTGGTGGTCCCTGGTCTAGGACAGACAAGGTTATCTGCCTGATGAACTCATTCCACCTCTAAATTGACAGGATGGAACCACCTTTACTAGTAGTAAAGAGCAAGCGGACCTCGTTGCCGAACACTTTGCTACCAAAATGCAAGTTCTTGAACCAGCAAGGGATGCTCCTTGGCTAGCTGCAAGAACTGTGTCAAAACTGTCAGTGGTGACAATAAGGTAGGAGGAGGTGCATTTCCTTCTTAAACTGCTTGACCAAGAAAAGGCTGTGGGCCCAGACAAGTTGAGCCCAAGATTGCTGAGATGTGCAGACCAGCTAGTAGCACCTCTAACTCATCTTTCAGCACTGCCTAGTACAGTGTAAATGGCCCTCTCTGTGGAAAGAGGCAAATGTAGTTCCTGTTCACTAAAAGAAGAGCAGAGCAGAAATGAGCAACTACAGACCAGTGTCACTCTGTCAATCACTGGCAAGATCCTGGAGACAATAATCTCAAGACAAATTACTTTTTTTTTATTTTTTTTTTTTTTTTTACTACCACTCATTACTTTGTGACCATCAGTATGGCTTCAGGAAAGGTTACTCTGCTGCTAATCTGTTGTTAAACCTCTCCACTAAATGGCACCAGTCTCTGGATGAATCCAAAGTCAGCTGTGTGGGAGCACTGGACATTGCTGGTGCTTTTGACGGGTGTGGCACCAGGGGCTCTTGGCAAAACTGCAAGCACTGGGAATTGCAGGCTCTGTGCTATGTCTCCTCAGTGATTACCTTCATGATAGATCTCTAAGGGTAGTTCTCAGTGGAACAGAATCAGCAAGACACCCTTTTGGGGCAAGTGTTCCACAAGGAAGTGTGCTGGGACCATTGTTATGGAATGTCTACTTCAATGACCTTCATCTCATCCCAGAATCCATGCATATGCAGAAGACTGTACTGTGACATTCCCTTATCTAAGAGAAGAAATGCCAGCTGCTCTAAGCTACATCAATCACCAGCTAAGAGATATAACATTTGCACCTGAGAAAACGCACGTGATGATGGTCTCGAGGCACCATGATGGTAATGCCGGTGCAGTAGTAAGTATGAATGGGAGGGTGTTGGTACCTGGGGAAGAAGTTGATATCCTTGGGGTGAAATTTGACTCCAAACTGACAATGAAGAACCACGTTGTAAATCTTGCAAACAAGGCAGCCAGGAAGCTTACAGCACTTCACCGTATCTTGCATTTGCTTGGCAGTAGGGGTTGCAAGATTCTGTATGAGGCACAAGTATGCTCGCACGTTTGAGTATGCTCCACTTTCTTGGTTTGCCCCCCCCCCCCTCATCTGCGACTGCTTGACAGAGTAGAGAACAGAGCAAGACTTCTCATTTCTCGCCTGGACCCATTCTTTACCACAAGACGGGCAGAAAGCAGCAACTTCACTATGGCTGTACCCTTCTCCAGAGCATCACTTCATCTGAGATCATTTATCCCCAGGATGACTTGAGTCTGGAACACATTCATACAGCATTATGATGTCGACAAGATAGTCAGTTGATCAAATGAAAATGCTGGCCCACAGATGGCTCCAACTTCATCCTGTTCCCTACTTGTATGTTTCATAACAATAAAATGCTTTCAAACGAGCTGATGTAGGTAACAGCTCTTATCTTGTCAATAAAGTTAGGAATCCTTAACTTGTAAATAGCTTGTCAATAAAGCTAAGGATCCTAAACCTAACCTTGTCAAATCCTGTGTTAAAAAAAAAAAAAAAAAAAAAAAAAAAATTGATTGATTTTGTGAATGGAAAATTTGGTGATTTTTTTCTTGTAACTCCTATGATTGGTTTTCAGGTTAAGAGTGCATTGTACATGATGTTGAAACAGACTGGGCACTATGAAAAAATATGACTAAAGTTATTTGCTGGAGAGACTTAAGTCAGAACAGATAATTAAAGCATTCTGAATTGGAAGGCTGAAATGTGGGATTCAGCTGTACTACCAAGTGCAGAATTTTACTATATTATCATTGAATTATAATATACATAGGTGTATTATTATAGTAGTCTAGTAATATAAATTAAATTGCTATAATTGCTAATCACTATTACTGTATATAATTATCATTATTTCACTGTACTGAAATAAAAATGTTAGTGTGATGAATGGTTTTAAAAACTGACAAGTTGAAGAATTGACACTTAAGCAACGTATGGGAATCTTTTTTAAAGAAACGTTTCCCCACACAGTGGCTTCATCAGTCATACAAAGCAGGAAGGTATAAAGAGTAGTAGTTTGAGGTAATCAGACCCTCAGCCTGGAGTCGACGTGTTCAGTCCATCAATCTTGTAGAAAGTACAGCACAGGGCCACAGCAGTGGCTTATATACTGTAGTCAGGCAAACCAGGAGGCAGCGGAGTCATAGTGGAACCATCCACTAGTCTAAGTAGGTCTTCATCCAAAGATTGGACATCATCATGGGATCTTGATACAAAGAATTCTTCAAACTTGTCCAGTCTTTGGATGAAGACCTACTTAGACTAGTGGATGGTTCCACTATGACCCCGCCTCCTTCTGCTTCGCCTCGCCTGACTACAGTATATAAGCCACTGCTGTGGCCCTGTGCTGTACTTTCTACAAGATTGATGGACTGAACACATCTACTTCAGGCTGAGGGACTGATTACCTCAAACTCCTCCTCGTTATACCTTCCTGCTTTGATGAAGCCAGTGTGTGGCGAAACATTTCTTCACTAAAGATTCCCATATATTGCACAAGCATCTTAATTCTTCAAAAATGTTAGTCTTTATTTTAAACTTAGGTAGAAAATGCTTATCAGTAATGTTCAGGATTCCCTGGATTTTTTTTATTTTTTTGTTAAAAATGAGGGGTAGTAAGAGTTATATTACCATTATTTAAAGGAGATAATAAAATAATTGATAATACATCACACAGAAAATTTAGTTTTAATCAGCCAAAGAAGCAGTCAGTGCAGATACATTGTCATTAAATTTGGCATTAGAACTACATCAACAAAAGTGAAAGTTCATTTTCGTTCATTCACCACAAACCATATTCTGTCGTTAACGTATTTTTTAAAAGTAAGAACATGTGTTCCAGAGTGGAGACACTTTATGCTTAAGTCTTAAGAATGTAAGGAATGTATCAAAGAGACACATAGTAATTTTCTTTCTGTATCACTTGCTGGTAATGTCTAAAGTGGGAAGAACCATGAATTTGATGGAAACTGATAGTGCATTAATTTCTTTGTCATTTATTATACATTATTGTCTGCCAAAATCTAAACATGTACATTTAATAATTTCTCTTATTACATGATTTTGAAAAATATTTATTATTCTCTGTTCAGACCTCTCTAAAGGCGTGCCTTTGGGGTCTCATAATAGCATTCAGTATGGCAAACCTGACAACTGCATCAAGGGTTCAAGGAGCAATGTTATGCCTGTGATGTTCTTCATGTTGGCCCAGTTGTTACTTGGTGCAGGAGGCTCACCACTCTTCACCCTTGGAACCACATACATTGATGACCATGTCAAGAGGGAGAGCTCCTCCATGTATATAGGTATGGTGAAAAACCATTATAGATATCTTCCTACACTTATTTACTCTATGTAATGTGCAGATTGGAAGGTTGGAGGGATAGAATGAGGGAAGTAAATGTGTTTAGATATTTGGGAATGGATATGTCAGTAGATTGGTCAGTGAAAGTTGAGATGAGCTGCAGAATTGATGAGGTTTAAAGATAATTGATGTGGTTTAGCATTTGTGGGAATATGTTAACTGTGGAGGCAAAAAGTGAACTGTAGCAGTGTATAGTAATTCAGCACTTTTATATGGGTTGGAGGCAGAAATTGGAAGATGGTGGAGGGTTACTGAAGGTATAATTAAAGAGACAGTGGTGGTTTGGCCATTTAGAAGGTATGGAGCAGAATAGAATGACAGGGTGTGTAAATTTGGGGGTGGAAGGAAGGAGTTGTAAGGGTCATCCCAGGAACAGTTGGAGAAGGTGAAGGAGGTTTTAAATGATAAAATATGTTTTTACATTTTTTAAACATTATACTGTACATAAATGCATTATAATAATTTGAAAGGCTCATAGTATGTATGCATTTGACAAACTTTGGGTAGGCCTTAAACTACTTAATACTTCAAAGACTTACCCCCCAACTCTGGCTTAAGCATTCCCCAGATTGAAATCCTGTCACTGGCATGTGTAGACATGATTTTTAGGGTTTGATGTGCTGTTGGAGTGAGAACAAGGTAACATGTATGAAGGAATTCAGGGGGAAACTGGTTACAAGGCCTTGAGCCCTGGAGGTGGGAAGTGCAGTGCCTGCATTCTTGAAGTTGGGCTGTTACAGTTGAGAGGGTCATATGCATTACAGTTGTGCAAGTCTGGCTGTTGAATGAATTGAAGGTAAATGTGTCTCATTTTTTGAGGGCCACCCTGACTTGGTGGGAGATGGTCCATATTAAAAATTCTTAATTTATTATTCATGTAAAACAGGTGTAAAGTTAAGTGTGATTTTGTTACTGATACTGTCAGTAGCAACACTCATTTGAAAGATTTGCTTATTTAGCACTGACATATAAATGTAGGTTGATCCTAGGTAGTAGATTGGTAGACAGCAACTGCCCAGGGAGGTACTACTGTCCTGCCATGTGAGTGTAAAACAAAAGAGTGTAATTGTTTTACATGATGGTAGGATTGCTGGTGTCTTTTTTTTGTCTCATAAAGATGCAAGATTTCAGGAACATGTTGCTACTTCTACTTACACTTTGGTCACACTACACATGCATATATGTACAAGCATATATATACACATCCATCCCTCTGGGGGTTTCTTCTATTTTCTTACTAGTTCTTGTTCTTGTTTGTTTCCTCTTATTTCCATGGAGAAGTGGAACAGAATTGTTCTTCTGTAAGCTGTGCGTGTCGTAAGAGGTGACTAAAATGCTGGGAGCAAGGAGCTAGTAACCCCTTCTCCTGTATGCAATACTAAAGTTAAAAAGAGAAGCTTCTGTTTTTCTTTTTGGGTCACCCTGCCTCGGTGGGATGTGGCCAGTTTGTTGAAAGAGAGATAGAGATATAGATAGATATAGAGAGAGAGTTATATATATAGAGAGAGAGACAGATAGAGATCTAGATATAGAGAGATAGAGATCTAGATATAGAGAGAGATAGAGATATAGATATATATAGAGAGAGATAGATATAGAGATAGAGATAGAGATATAGAGATAGAGATAGAGATATAGAGATAGAGATAGAGATATAGATATAGAGAGAGATATAGAGAGAGATATATATATATATATATATAGATATATATATATATAGAGAGAGATATATATAGAGAGAGAGATATATATAGAGAGAGAGATATATATATAGAGAGAGAGATATATAGAGAGAGATATATATATAGAGAGAGATGTATAGAGAGAGAGATATATAGAGAGAGAGATATATATATAGAGATATATATATATATATATAGAGAGATATATATAGAGAGAGATATATATATAGAGAGAGAGATATATAGAGAGAGAGAGATATATAGAGAGAGAGAGATATATATAGAGAGAGATATATATAGAGAGATATATATATATATATATAGAGAGATATATATAGAGAGATATATAGAGAGAGAGATAGACACAGAGAGAGACAGAGAGATAGAGAGAGATAGAGATATTGATATACAGATCGATAGTGATATAGATAGATATAGAGATATAGATTGAGATATATATATATATAGAGAGAGAGATATATTCGGTCGACTAACAGAGATATATATAGAGATCTTTCATTCAACGCACCAGCTGTATCGCGCTGAGGCAGGGTGACCCATAAAGAAAAACAAAAGTTTCTCCTCTTACATTTAGTAATATATACAGGAGAAGGGGTTACTAGCCCCTTGCTCCCGGCATTTTAGTTGCCTCTTACAACACTCTCTCTCTCTCTCTCTCTCTCTCTCTCTCTCTCTCTCTCTCTCTCTCTCTCTCTCTCTCTCTCTCTCTCTCTCTCTCTCTCTCTCTCTCTCTCTCTCTCTCTCTTTCTCTCTTTCTCTCTTTCTCTCTTTCTCTCTTTCTCTCTTTCTCTCTTTCTCTCTTTCTCTCTTTCTCTCTTTCTCTCTTTCTCTCTTTCTCTCTTTCTCTCTTTCTCTCTTTCTCTCTTTTCTCTCTTTCTCTCTTTCTCTCTTTCTCTCTTTCTCTCTTTCTCTCTTTCTCTCTTTCTCTCTTTCTCTCTTTCTTTCTCTCTTTCTCTCTTTCTCTCTTTCTCTCTTTCTCTCTTTCTCTTCTCTTTCTCTCTTTCTCTCTTTCTCTCTTTCTCTCTTTCTCTTCTTTCTCTCTTTCTCTCTTTCTCTCTTTCTCTTTCTCTCTTTCTCTCTTTCTCTCTCTCTCTTTCTCTCTTCCTCTCTCTCTCTCTCTGGGTTTTCTTCTATTCTCTTGCTAGTTCTTCTTGTTTATTTTCTCTTATCTCCATGGGGAAGTGAAACAGAATTCTTTTTCTGTAAGCAATGCATGTTGTAAGAGGTGACTAAAATGCCAGAAGCAAGCAGCTAGTAAACCCTTCTCCTGTATATATTACTAAATTTAAAAGGAGAAACTTATGTTTTTTCTTTTAGGCCACCCCGCCTCGGTGGGATACAGCCTGTTTGTTGAAAGAAAAAAAGAATATAAATGTTAATGTCAGTTTTCTCACATAACAGAGCAGGTGTTGCACAGCTTGACATTAAGACTGATAGCACTCCTATTGCTAAACATAATGAGGGCAAATTCCTGGACCTCCACCTCGACAGCAACCTGAATTTCAGCACCCATATCCAACACATATCAAAAAAAGTATCCAAAACGGTTGGGATCCTCTCTAAGATACACTACTAAGTACCACAATCAGCCCTACTCACACTATGCTATTCCCTCATCTATCCCTACCTCACGTATGCCATTTGTGCTTGGGGATCAGCAGCAGTAACTCGCCTAAAGCCAATAATAACCCAGCAAAAAGCTGTGGTAAGAATTATCACTCAGTCCAGTGCTAGGCAACACCCTCCCCCTCTTCAAAGACCTAAACTTACTCACTGTACAGAACATCCACACTTACTACTCTGCAACCACATTTACAGAACCATAAATTCCAATATTAACCCTGAACTAAAACACTTTTTTGATAGTTGTGACAGGACCCATATTCATAATACCATACAAAAACATCTCTGACATTCCCCATGTCCGGTTAAATCTATACAAAAATTCAGTGTGCATAAAAGAACCTAAAATTTGGAACTCCCTGCTTGAAAACTCTAGAACTGCAGACTCGACCACCATTTCCAAAACTATTAACCCATTAATGGTCCAAACGTATATATACGTTTTTTCAACATCTGAAAGTATGTAAAAAAATGTAGATCTTCTTTTTTGTTTTACATTTGAAAACGTGTAAAAAAACTTTTATCTACATTTTTTTTGTTATATTTGAAAATATGTAAAAAAAGTAGATCTACTTTTGTAGCACTACGAATTTGAACGTCGATCTGTTTGGACCGTTTAAGGGTTAAAAACCATCTTATCTCCTTAACACCCCACCGGTAGTGAACCACATGAATACCACCATATCGTGCACATATCTAGAACAAAATATACACTTACTTGAAATCTGTGATTCCCACTAATTTACACAAATGACTGTAAACATAAAATTCTGAATATAGCTATTCCTTCATAATTTTTAAGCTAGTCACAAGTTAAGTCTAAGACATAGGAGCTTTAATAGAAACTATGTATCATGCCATTCCCTTTACTAGGTATACAGTTTGTTAATTTCTTAAATGTTTTGAATTACCTCACTTACATAAATCTGGTTAATCACTACAATTATCTAACTCTAATATCAGTATGCTCCATAACCTGTGTCAACATAGAGTAATAATTAGTATTAGTCTGCCCGAAATGCCTAGGCATACTAGTGGCGGCCTTTGTAATTAATATTTTATAATTTGTTATAATATTTTACAATATGTAAACCACTCATTGTGATTAATACTTTGTAATATGTAAACTCCACATTGTAATCTTTACAGAGAAATAGACTGTAAATCCAAGTTATAATAACAACATTCTTCTAGGTATTATCTACACCATGGTGGCCTTTGGACCTGTGCTAGGATTCTTACTTGGAGCATATCTCATCTCCTATTATGTTGACACCCTCTTTGTTGATACTTCAATAATGCAAGCAGGTGGGTATTGTATTAGATCTTGTGCTGTTCGTAAATTAATAAATCCTGGTATTTGATGTAAAAAATGCTGTAGTTCATATAAAATTTGCATATTTGTAATGTAAAACTTGGTATCTATTGTCATTGAGATCAAATATTGCCAAATGTGTGAATAATACTGGTACTTGTAATCATGGTTAATAGGATAATATTTAATGTACACTACAATATGAGGTAATTGTAAGTAAAATAAAAGCGAGGCAGCGTCTTAAGTGAACAAGTACAGTACAGGAAGGTCCCAGCTTAAACATGATTTGCAATTCTGCTGTTTTAACTTATGAACTATGTTCTTTGTTTCAACTTGAGAAAAAGTTGCTTTTATAGAAAACTGCAGAACAAAACATAGTTGCTTCATACACATTCGAACTATATATTGTCTGTTGTAAAAAATCAGTTGGCTACTATGTTGCTCATTTGTGGGTGCAAATGTTTGTAATTTGGAACGTTTGTAAGTCTGGGTCTTCCTGTGAAGTACTGATACAATATATATATTTTGAAATTATTAATATTTTTTATTTGTGAAGTTTTAAACCATATATAAAATACATGTACAAGGATTAGTGAGGGTTCAATCTTCTGTCCCCGTAAGTGTGAGACAGACTACTGACTAGCTGATCGCTCTCTTCCAGATCACAAACATCCTCGATGGATTGGGATGTGGTGGGGTGGATTCCTCCTCTGTGGGCTGTTGCTCATATTGATATCTATTCCCTTTTTCATGTTTCCTAAGACACTTAAGGTGAGGATTTCTAGTGCTTTTTATGATTGTTTTCCTTTCATCCTTAGAGATGTGTATCACCATAGATGTGTACCATATTTATAGATTGGGTTGTTAAAAAAAAAAGTGAATCAAAGGGTGGTAGAGAGATGTATTAAAAGATGATGAAGTGGGAATTATCACTGTTGCTCATTGCTGATGACAGTTTTTGGGGAGGTTCTTCCATCAGAGGTTGGTGGAGGAATTTGGAAGGGTGTGTAAAAAACAAATGAACACAGGAAAGAGCAAGGTCATTACAGTAAAAATATATAGGCAGTGACAGATTATCTCTTTCACTGTTTTTTACTTAGATCTATGTCAGTGATGCCAGTATTGCTCGCTTAGATCCACACTTTAAGCACAGCTCTCTTAAATGTGCTGTGAGCATTAAATTTCAGCCTAGACGTGTGTGTGTGTGTGTGTGTGTGTGTGTGTGTGTGTGTGTGTGTGTGTGTGTGTGTGTGTGTGTGTGTGTGTGTGTGTGTGTGCATGTACTCCCCTAATTATGGTTGCAAGGGTTGAGACTCGGCTCCTGGCCCTGCCTCTTCACCGACCGCTACTAGGTCCTTTATCATACCTCATCTTAAAACTATGTATAGTTCCTGCCTCCACTACATCGTGTGTGTGTGTGTGTGTGTGTGTGTGTGTGTTCAAGTATACAAGAAAAATCCTGCCTTCACACAGTGCATGATAGAAAAAGTAAACCTCTTGACCTTGTATATACTATTTCTTGGGTGGTTTTTATGATTTTATTGGCAGTTTCTTGGTATCAGTACTGTAGTGGAAGACATGCAAGTGAAACTGTGTTGGTTAATTGGTTTCAAACCGCAAGTACATGCCATAGATTGAAATAGGGCTCAGTGGCAGAAATATTTTGAGTTATTTTTTTTTTTCCTGATAAAGGGTAGTGCCCCTCCTAGAATATTCTCTAGTCTGTTTTATGGGATTTCACTAGCAGCAGTCACCACTTTGTGTAGATGTGTAAAATACAGCTGTGTATGAAGTTGTTTCAAGGACTTCCACAGACTACAACAGCTCTAGGAACATGACCAGTGACTGTGTGTGTGTGTATATATATATTCTTCTTTCAACAAAACCGGCTGTATCCCACCAAGGCAGGGTGGTCCAAAAAGAAAAACAAAAGTTTTTCTTTTTAAATTTAGTAATTTATACGGGAGAAGGGGTTACTAGCCCCTTGCTCGCGGCATTTTAGTCGCCTCGTACAACACGCATGGCTTACGGAGGAAGAATTGTGTTCCACTTCCCCCATGGAGATAAGAGGAAATAAACAAGAACAAGAACTAGAAAGAAAATAGAAGAAAACCCACAGGGGTGTGTATATATATGCTTGTACATATATGTGTAGTGTGACCTAGGTGTAAGTAGAAGTAGCAAGACATACCTGAAATCTTGCTTGTTTGAGACAGAAAAAAGAACACCAGCAATCCTACCATCATGTAAAACAATTACAGGCTTTCGTTTTACACTCACTTGGCAGGACGGTAGTACCTCCCTGGGCGGTTGCTGTCTACCAACCTACTACCTTCATATATATATATATTATATAATGTAAATAAATGTTAGAACAGTATTAATGGGAAACATTTGTACCTGTGTATGTTCACATTGTTGTATAAACACGTTTTGTAAACATTGTAGTGCTGTTATTATGTTGAATAAAACAAATCGATATATGTTCATTGGAAATGACATGGGTCTCAAGGGTCATGAAAGTTACTGGAAAAATGTAATAATATTAGAAAACGCCACAAAAAGTACAAAATAATAGAAACGTGGAGCATGCAGCAGCTGCTGATGTTGCTGTTGGCAAATCATTGACTTTCAACTTCATGCCTCTATCATAAATACTGATAAACATTTTACTTTTTGCTTCATTACCACTGGAAGAATTAACTTTTTTAAATCTAAGATTTTTTTTTTTTTTTTAATTTGGACATGACAGCAATTTAATTTAGGGGGGTCTGGGAAGTGAAAGACAAAAGAAAGGATTAAATATCACTCAGAGTAGGCAGTGTTATTAGTGCTTAAACTGTGCCTAGACCAACAATTTTGTGCTTGCATAATTATGTAATTTTCCATCAGATTTCTCATTTTTTGGTGTCATTACCTCTGGAGAAGATTCATTGCCCCTTTTAGAGTATAACTTAAAAATATATACTTGACACTTTTGCTGTATTTTCAGGGGTTGCAGCAGTAAAAGTGTTAAATATTAGATACACAAATAACCCGCACATAGAAGAGAGGAGCTTATGATGACGTTTCGGTCCGACTTGGACCGAAACGTCCAACTTTGGTCCAAGTCGGACGGAAACGTCGTCGTAAGCTCCTCTCTTCTATGTGCGGGTTATTTGTGTATCGTTCCAGTCATGGTATTGTGCCTTTTTTGTTATTTATTGTTAAATATTAGATATTTTGGAGTGGACTTGTTGGCAGATGGGTTTATGAAAGATCAGGTAAACAGTAGAATTAATAAGGGAGAATGGTGCAGACAAAAGATTCTATTCATGGATGCAAAAAAGGGTAATGTACCAGAGTATTATGGTACCAATACTTTTGTATAGGTGTAAGGCATGGGTTTTAAATGTTGCAGTAAGGAGGAGGATGGAGGCAGTGAAGATGTCATATTTGAGGACAATGTGTGGTGTGATAATTATGGAGAGAATTAGAAAAAGCTTGGAGATTAGAAGGTGTGATGTTACCAAAAGTATCATTCAAAGGGTTGAGGAGAGAGTGAAGTAGTTTTGACATTGAGAGAGGATAGATTAAAATAGAATGACTTGAGTGTGTGTCAGGTGGGGAGGGGATATGGGGTTGGAGTTGTCCCAGGAAAGGTTGGAAGGATAGGGTAAAGGAGGTTTTAAGTGCTAGGGGGGCTTGGATATCCATGAGCTTCTGTGAGTATGCTGGAGAGGATTGAATGACATGTTGGTAGAGTGCAAGGAAGGTAATATTTATGAAGGGATTCAGGGCAACTGGTTAGCAGGAGTTCTGGAGGTGGGAAGGACAATGCTGGCACTCTGGAGGAGGAGTGGATATGTTGCAGTTGAGAGGGCCAGTTGAACTGTGATGTGAGAATGCTTGTAAGACATTGAATTAGTAATGATGAAAGCATTACTTCTTTTTTTGGCTCCCACTACCTCGGTGGGAGATGACCAGAGTTAAAAATCTTTCTTAACCCTTTGAGGGTTTCGGCCGTACTAGTACGGCTTACAACACAGGGTTTTTTGACGTACTAGTACGCCTAAATTCTAGCGCCCTCAAAGCTAGTGGGAGAAAGCTGGTAGGCATACACATGAAAGAATGGGTCTATGTAGATAGTGTGCGCAGTATAAAAAAAATCCTGCAGCACACAGTGCATAATGAGAAAAAAAAACTTTGACCGTGTTTTTGGAATAAAACAGCGACTTTGCAGTGTATTTTCGTATGGTATTTATTGTTGTATTCTAGTTTTCTTGGTCTCATTTTATAAAATGGAAGACATATTACAGAAATTGACATGATTTTGACTTGTTTTACAATTAAAAGTACCTTGAAATTGAGCTCAAAGTAGCAGAAATGTTCGATTTTTACCAAAGTTCAAAAGTCAACAAATCATGCCAAGTGTCCAATACACGTCAACTGGTGAGTCTAATATTCTTTCACAAGTGCGCTGATATTATTTATACCATTTCTACACTAATGCAGTAGTCTGCATAACAGTAAATCTTCTATTTTTTGTAAGAATAAAAATTGAAAGTGGAAAGCCAAAGAAATATAAGAGGGGCCTGGGGATGTGACTAACAAACAGAGGAAATGTTATTTTAGTGCCAGGAATGTCTTTCTTGTTTATTCTGGACCCTATTTGGAAATTGGCATCTTTTGAAATTTGTGTGAAATTGGCAAAATTGCTAAATTCTGACCACTGTATTGGATAGTTGAAATCAGTAAATGGGCAGTTTCTTGTACTCATTCGATAGAAAAAATGGAGTTCTAGAGAAATAGTTATGACTTTTGTCGACTAGTACACTGGAATTGGCCGAAAATAGGGCTCAAAGTGGGCAAAATCGCCGAGACCACTAACTTCGCGAGAGCATAATTCCTTAAGTTTTCCATCTAATTTCATTCTTTTGGTGTCATGATCAGGAAAAGATTCTCTATCTTTTCATAAGAAATTTTTTTTTTTTTTTTTTTTTTTAAATTTGGCCGACCCTGAGAACAAGTCTCGGAGAGGGCCTGTCGACCCTCAAAGGGTTAAAAGGACAGGTTCTATACATCTTATATGTTTATACTACAGTGTATAGACTAAGCTACAGTATATTAACTGAGAGGGATATCTGAAATAGTCTCAAGTTTGCTCACAGAAAAACAATCTTTTTTATACACCATTTTTAATGTAAATTTAATCATGAGTAGTTTACTTTTTTTTTTTTCTTTTATAATAGAAAGAAAAGGAGAAGGTGAGAATGGAGGAGAAAACAAAGGAATTTCAGAAAGGTCACCGCCGAACCAAGTCTCAGACGTCAACATGCTCACGTCACTCCACTCTCTCCACCAAACGAGTTTATGGCAAAGATGTTCGAGGTGAGAGGATATGTTGCATACAGTATAATACAAATAGAGATTTTATTTCTAAAAATAAAAGGTTTAATTGCAGTTTTGGGATTATATGTGTGTTTCGGCCTAATATGAGAGAATGGGTCTGTGTGGTGAGTGATCACAGTACTAGTTATTTTGTTAGTTGGGTTGAATGGTTGTGATGCCTAGGGGTCATCACAACCCTTTAACCCAACCATAACAAAAATACATACATTTACTTATAACTTCTCTCAGTATTTTAATAAGGATTTCACGTTGTTTTGTACTACAAACTCACAGCCGGACTTAGAGCCCTGGAGGTGGGAAATACAATGCCTGCATTTTAACCCCTTTTGGGTTTTTGGACGTACTGTATGGCTTCTGCGGGGGTTTTTGACGTACTTAGCATAAATTCTAGCGCCGTAAAATTTTGGGGGGGAAAAAGGCTGTTGCCTGGGTTGAGAAAAAGGTCTGTTGGTGGGTTTTTCATAGAGAAAAATCTGGGACCCAGTGGGATTGGGGGAAACGCCATCTTGTACACAATGCCCACCATCCCTCGCGGTAAGAAGTTCCTCACTCCTCGCAAATTGGGACCTTTTTTCCCCCAGGACAGTTCTAATACAGGGGAAGTCCCGTGAAGATGAGTTTCAAGGTTTTGGTGGGGTTTTGACTAAACAAATGACCAAAATATCGGTAATAGGAGGAAACCCAGACGACCCTCACCTTCCAACGTGGTCTGGGCCTCTTTTTTAAAGTTCAGTTGTACCAGAATCAAAGAGGAAACTCCTTTTTCCCAAATCCCAACTCAGATGTGAGCATTTTTGATATATGTGATGAACTAAAAGTCTTGAAAACAGTTCCATATGTTAGTGAAGGGGGAATTTTCCCCCATGAAGCGTCTAAATACGACGATATATGCGTCTGGTAGTGTCCATAGCTATTCCGGGAAGGAGTACACTCGGAGTCATCCCGTGGCTGTACAACGGGAACAGACAGTGAAAAGACGATGATATGTTGCAATTGGGATAAAAAAAAGTCATGGTGGGGGAAGGGGGTGGGAGGCCGTAAGGCACCACATGGGCATGCTGCCACCCACGCCGCTGCCTCAGCTGATCTACAAAAAACCCCACCCCCACCCACCCACCCCCACACCGCCCCACAACCCAACCTCCCCAACCACAACCTCCACAACCACAACCACCCGCCTTTGTCCAGTACCCACCAGCAGACCCCCCTAGGATTTGGCAGGAAGCTGTCAGTTTTGTTTTAAAAACCCACCAGTTTTATGCACCAAAGTGGAATCGCCCTCTTGTACACTTGGGGAAAAATGCCATGAACTGGGTGTTTCGAGTTATTCTTTTACGACCTTTGATTGAAAGATTGCATAGAAAGCAACACATACTACAGAAAAACCATGGAAACAACTGTCACCCAAAAACACGTCTACACCAGTGGAAGGAGGCAACTGTGGCCAGATTATCTTTTCTTGGCCCCCAAAAAGCTTGTGCCACATGTGTATAAACACAAAACGAAATCATACTGGTCAACAACCCCCTGATTGCAACCCCAGGGTTTTAGCGATATAAGCCCGTGATCGGGTTTTGCTAAAGTTTCTATGCTTCACTTCTCAACAAAAACCGGGCCTACAGAAACGACGTTTTATAAAATTTGGCATGTGTTTGTGTATCGAAAGAGAGATTCAATATGTATTTTTATCCCTCAGGGAAACTTGAATTGATGAGGGCTTTGATTCGTTTTAAAGGAAGATCCTTTCAAGCATTACATGCCAAGCAAGAAGAAAAACTTAGGTATAAAATTGTTTGTGCTTTTGATTGTTACAGTGGTTTTTGGTATTGGATATTATTTTGTACACTGGGGTTATACATTGCAAAATACAGGAATTTTTTTGGGCTCTCTGGTGTGCGGTTAAACAAAGATAGAACCTACCTTTGGAAGGGCATGATTATTACTGAAACTGGGACACAAGCCCCCCACTCGGGGATTTTTTCAATGAACATGACAGATGTGTGTGGCCAGTGGTGTAAACGGAAAAAATAAGCCCCGGTTTGACATGGCGTCGTAAGGGAGGGCAGGGGTTTCCCGCCAAAAGAACAGGCATTTCAGTGGCATACAAAAGAGATGTCAACTGTTGTCATCATTCACCCCAATGAAATGGAGACACTGGCAGGGAGCATAGAAGAGCAAGAACCTTCTAAAAAACCCGCAGCTGTGATTGATTACCCTTCAATATGCTTGTGGACAAATGTGAATGCAGATTGGGTTTTGCTGATTTTTTGCAAAAGTTAAAAGTGGGACATAAAACTTTTTTTTCCCTCTTCTGGCATTTCCATGCTCAAAGCTTTAATATTTTTAAGGAGGCCGAAACAAACCCCCAATACGGCGAATTCGTTTGTCATCAGACAAATAGTATTCAAGTACCAGGAAAACACCCGCCAAACCGCCCACCAAATTACAACACTGCCTTCTCGTCTGAAGCATGGGGATCACTTCCTGGTAAAATGCCCGCTACGCTTTAAAAAAAAGGCTTTAGAAAGGTGTTACGTCTGTGACATACAAGGAAATGCCCACAACAATGCAGAGACACTCATTTTTTGTGTGGGGAGTGTAAAACACCACTGTGCATGGACACCATGTTTCAAAGACTTCCACAGGCTGCAGAACTTCTAGAAACATTCCCTGTGACTGTTTTTTTTTTTTTTTTTCCAACAAGTCGGCCGTCTCCCACCGAGGCAGGGTGACCCAAAAAGAAAGAAAATCCCCAAAAAGAAAATACTTTCATCATCATTCAACACTTTCACCTCACTCACACATAATCACTGTTTTTGCAGAGGTGCTCAGAACACAACAGTTTAGAAGCATATACGTATAAAGATACACAACATATCCCTCCAAACTGCTAATATCCCAAAACCCTCCTTTAGAGTGCAGGCATTGTACTTCCCATTTCCAGGACTCAAGTCCGGCTATATAAAAATAACCGGTTTCCCTGAATCCCTTCACTAAATATTACCCTGCTCACACTCCAACAGATCGTCAAGTCCCAAATACCATTCGTCTCCATTCACTCCTATCGAACACGCTCATGTTTGTGTAAATATTTTTTATAAACAAAACAATGACAACAGTGTTTACACCCTTATTGTGTAGTATTGAAAAAGAAAAAAACTTACAAAATACTGATCATATTGGTCTCACAGGCCATAAAAGTTACTTGGAAAAAGAAAAATTAAAAAATAATAGAAATTAGTACATAAAGTAAATAAAGGAATACCGGGAGACGGCAGTCGACGATGTTGCCACATTGTCCCCCTTTTTCATCAACTTCATGCCTCCATATCTCGGTAAGTATTGATGGTAAAAAATTTTTGTTTAGCCTATAATAAAAAAAAAAAAAACTTTTTTCAGAAAAAATATTTATTTTTTTTTTTTTGAAATTTGGCCGACCCTGAGAACGAGTCTCTGAGAGGACCTGTCGACCCTCAAAGGGTTAAAGGAGGGGTTTGGGATATTGGCTGTTTGGAGTGACATCTAAACTGTCATATATGGGAGCCTTTGCAAAGACAGTGGTATTGTGTGAATGATGGTGAGAGACTGCCGTTGTTTTGAGGGAAAAAAAAAAAAACACTCTGCTTCCCCTAAACAACACAGCCAGTTTTGGTGGAAGCTAAGAGTAGTGGTGGATGGTAGAATGTGTAATGTGCATTGCTCAATCTGTTGCTAACATGACCAGAATGTGTCGCTTCTTCCGTGATGAACAATTTATACATATACACATTATCCCAACATTTTAACTGATGATGCATACATGACAACAGTGCACATTGACTGCTGTTTCAAGAAACAGCTGATTCTGTATCATCTGGGGAAACATGTGAGGTGATAAATAATAAACATAAGATTTTCTAGTCATTGTACAAGTGGAAATGGTCATTAACCCGTAAATGGTCCAAGCAGATCTACGTTCACATGTGTAGTGCTCCAAAAGTAGATTTACGTTTTTTTACATATTTTCAAATATAACAAAAAAAAAGTAGATCAAAGTTTTTTACACGTTTTCAAATGTAAAAAAAAAAAAATCTACTTTTTTTTACATACTATCAAATGTTGAAAAAACGTATATATACGTTTGAACCGTTTGCGGGTTAAATGAGGGTTATGGCCCACAGCCTGTAATTAACTCATTAAAGGAGCAGGACTTAGCCATTAAGCAGTGGAGGGAGAAGAACAAATGGTTCTAGATGTTTTCTTAGTCATTATTCAAAATGGCATTACATGAACTGTTGTTAAGCAAACAAACCTTAATGTTTCTCTCTGTTGGAAATCATAAAACTGTACTGTGGTTTGAATCTGATCATGTCATAATATCTCTTATCACACTGCTTCCTTTTACTTTTTTGAAAAAGATGATTTGTTTTTTTATCTGCTTCTATTCATATTTGGGTGTGATAATGCAATCCATACACAAGTTTCGTTTTCCATTAATTTTCTGTAATGTGTGTCATATGTTATTCTAGTCCAACATTTCCTGAGGTCAGTGTTTTGCTTGTGTTAAGTGCCTTATGTTGTAAAATATTCACAAACTGTGCAGTTTTGATATGAGATTGTAAAAATGAACAAATTGTAATATATAGTACTGTATCTTTGCAGATATTCCTTTATCTATGCTGAAACTATTAGTTAATCCCATCTATGTCATGACCTGTTTGGGGGCATGCATGGAGCTCATGATTGTCTCTGGCTTCATTGTTTTCTTGCCAAAGTACCTGGAGACACAGTTCTTCCTTTCAAATGTTCAAGCCTCTATCTTTACTGGTGAGTAAATTCTTCAGTTGTTACATTATATAAAATAAATGATTATTTTTAAATATAGAGTAAACCCTTGGTTTAATGGGCTAATAGGGAAAGCAGGTGGCCTGTAACAGTGACTAGTGATGGGGAATTGAGGTTTTGTTGTTATTGTAACAATAACCAACAATTCTGTAACCATTGGACTTTGCTGTTTACGAATCAACTGACCCAGCAGATTTTGTCCCATAATTTTAAGTTTCATTGATATTTTACAATAGACACCAATTGTGTGCACGTGTGTGCACATGCGTGTGTGTGCGAGAGTGAGCAAGAGAAAAAGAGGGAGAGAACAGAGGTAACCTAGCTCTATATAGCTGTTAATTCTTATGCATAATAATGAAAATCCTAGGTGGTAGGTTGGTAGACAGCAGCCATTCAGGGAGGTACTACCATCCTGCCAAAGAGGTGTGAAACGGAAACCTATAACTGTTTTACATGATGGTAGGATTGCTGGTGTCTTTTTTGTCTCATAAACATGCAAGGTTTCAGGTACATCTTGCTACTTCTAGTTACACTTAGGTCACACTGCACATGCATGTACAAGCATATATATACACACCCCTCTGGTTTTTCTTGTTTTCTTATTAGTTTTCTTACTAGTTTATTTACGCTCATCTCCACAGGGAAGTGGAACAGAATTCTTACTCTGTAAGCCACGCGTGTCGTAAGAGGTGACTAAAATGCCGGGAGCAAGGGGCTAGTAACCCCTTCTCGTGTATATGTACTAAATTTAAAGAGAAGTTTTTGTTTTTCTTTTCGGGCCACTGTGCCTCTGTTGGATATGGCCAGTTTGTTGAAAGAAAGAAGAATAATGAAAATCACTTCTACAGGTGGCATAGCTATTCCTGGTGCTTGTATTGGCATCTTCTTCGGAGGCTACCTACTGAAACGGTTTAGCCTACGGCCAAAAGGTGCCATACAGATGGTTATGGTCTTCAACCTTATTGGTCTAAGCTTTTATGGCCTACTATTTGTTCTTGGATGTGATAATGTGAAGATGGCAGGCACAACATCACCATACTTCAACACGTAAGTTGTTTTGCACACTGTAAAATTTGGTGAAAGACAAATGCAGAGTTGTCCTTTATTTGTACATTTCACCATATGCTGGACTTTTTCAAGTATATTGCAGATATGAGAGAGAATTTACTTAAAAATCCCTGTGTTGGACAAAGCATGGTATGAATGAAGGACTCCTGCATTCATCTCTCGCCAACTGTTGGCATATTGCCATTGTCTTCACTTCAGAAATTGGTAATAAGTTTGTGTAATAAAATTTAGTTTTCTTCTTTGGGTCCCCCAACCTTGGTGGGAGACAGCCAGTGTATTAAAAAAAAAAGTATTAATTTCTTTCATCTTGCAAGTCTTTCCTCATTGAAAATAAGTTGACTTGAAAGGCGCTCCTTAACCCTTTGACTGTCGTAACCCCCAACCCTGAGGTGTCTCCTGGTGTCGCAAAATTTAAAAAAAAAAAAAAAAAAAAAATTTTTTCTTATGAAATGATAGAGAATCTTTTCCTGATTGTAAAGACGCCAAAAAAACGAGATTTGATGGAAAACTGACGGAATTACGCTCTCGCAAAGTTAGCGACCTCGGCGATATTTACAAATCGGCGATTTCGCCCAATTTGAGCCCTATTTTCGGCTAATTCCATTATTTCAGTCAACCAAACTCATAGCTATTTCTTCAGAACTCCATTTTTTCCATCGATTGAGTACAAGAAACTGCCCATTTACCGATTTCAACTACCCAATAACATGGTCAGAAATTTGCAATTTGGCCAATTTCACGAAAATTAAAAAATATGACAATTTCAAAATAGGGTCCAGAATGAACAATGCAGACATTCCTGGCTCTAAAATAACATTTTCTTTGTTCATCAGTCATGTCTCCAGGCCTCTGTGATATTACTCTTGCTTTTTATTTTGAAATTTTATTCAAACAAAAAATAGAAGATTTACTGTTATGCAGACTACTGCAGTACTGTAATAATTGTAAAAATTACATCAACCCATTCATGACTGCATATTAGAATTGCTATTTGGACATTTATTGGACAATGACATCATTTGTTTACTTTTGAACATCGGCAAAAATCAAACATTTCCCTTACTTTGTGCTCCATTTCCAGGTTCTTTTTATAGTAAAATTAATCAAAATCACCTCTATTTCTATAAGATAGTTTCCATTCTATCAAATGAGACCAAGAAAACGAGAATACAACCATAAATACTATACGAAAATAGACCACAAAGTCGACATTTTAATTAAAAAAAATGGTCGGAGTTTTTTTTTTCTCATTATGCACTGCGTGCTCCAGGATTTTTTTTATATGGTTCACACTGACCACACAGACCCATTCTCTCACATGTGGGCCTACCAGCTTTCTCCTGCCTGATTTGAAGCCGCTAGAATTTGAGTATATATACATCAAACACGGTACCTCGTAAACGTATATATATGGCCGCGACAGTCAAAGGGTTAAATGCATTAGTTTTAGAATGCTTTCTAAAAATAAAATGAAATTGTAAAATTTTGGATGGAGGCAGTGGTGTCGCTCGAGTTGGTGTCACCCGGGGCAGAATCATTGGTATCACCCGGGGCGGCATCTTTGGTGTCATCCCCATGAAACCCAAGGGCCAGGGGATGGTGGGAGTAAACTCCAGATACGTCACTACTGCATGACCAGAGACTAATGTTTAGCAATGAGAACATTTAAGGGCCATAAACAGAACAGGAGAATACTTCTCAACTTTATTAATGATAAATAATCGTAGTAATATTGAGGAAACATAAACTCAAAAGCCACTTTGAGTACAGGCAATAGATCCTACATTAATTCATCTTCAACAATGAAACAAAAAAAAACTTAAAATTGAAGAAAAACATTGCAATATCAGAGTAACACTAGTTCCGATTTGACCTTGAGTACAGGTAACATCTCAGTGAATCTGATTTTACATTTCCTTGCCTTCAATCCTGCAGTATCATCTATCACAACATCAAAATCAATGATTTTCTCTATATAGACTTATTTGTATTCTAATCATATAATAGGCTATATACAAATGAAGGATTTTTCTCTCATCTTGCTGCAGCACTATTTTGTGCATTAGTGTCACCTTTAGAGGCTCTATGGTGTCTCCCCCCCCCTTACAATGCCACTGGATGGAGGCTGTAAAGTTCAACACTGCTGATAAATTAAGAGTAGAAACATGAGCAATATTCAATGTAGGAATGGAAAAATCAGTTGCATCATATGGCAGAATATCTTTAATGCTTTTAATATAGTACAGCATAGCAGGTTTATATATATAGAAGGAGTAGCAATAATGTTGAAGGATAAGCTATGGCAGGAAAAGAGGGACTACAAACGCATAAATTCAAGGATTATGTGGAGTAAAATAAAGATTGGATGTGAAAAGTGGGTTATAGTAAGCGTGTATGCACCTGGAGAAGAAAGAAGTGTAGAGGAGAGAGAGAGATTCTGGGAAATGTTGAGTGAATGCGTGGGGAGTTTTGAATCAAGTGTGAGAGTAATGGTGGTTGGGGATTTCAATGCTAAAGTGGGTAAAAATGTTATGGAGGGAGTAGTAGGTAAATTTGGGGTGCCAGGGGTAAATGTAAATGGGGAGCCTTTAATTGAGCTATGTGTAGAAAGAAATTTGGTAATAAGTAATACATATTTTATGAAAAAGAGGATAAATAAATATACAAGGTATGATGTAGCACGTAATGAAAGTAGTTTGGGTTTGATTATGTATTGGTGGATAAAAGGTTGATGGGTAGCTCCAGGATGTACATGTTTATAGAGGGGCAACTGATATGTCAGATCATTATTTAATTGTAGCTACAGTTAGAGTAAGAGGTAGATGGGAAAAGAGGAAGGTGGCAACAACAAGTAAGAGGGAGGTGAAAGTGTATAAACTAAGGGGGGAGGAAGTTCGGGCGAGATATAAGCGACTGTTGGCAGAAAGGTGGGCTAGTGCAAAGATGAGTAGTGGGGGGGTTGAAGAGGGTTGGAATAGTTTTAAAAATGCAGTATTAGAATGTGGGGCAGAAGTTTGTGGTTATAGGAGGGTGGGGGCAGGAGGAAAGAGGAGTGATTGGTGGAATGATGAAGTAAAGGGTGTGATAAAAGAGAAAAAGGTAGCTTACGAGAGGTTTTTACAAAGCAGAAGTGTTATAAGAAGAGTAGAGTATATGGAGAGTAAAAGAAAGATGAAGAGAGTGGTGAGAGAGTGCAAAAGGAGAGCAGATGATAGTGGGAGAGGCACTGTCAAGAAATTTTAATGAAAATAAGAAAAAATTTTGGAGTGAGTTAAAAAAGTTAAGAAAGCCTAGGGAACAAATGGATTTGTCAGTTAAAAACAGAATAGGGGAGTTAGTAGATGGGGAGATGGAGGTTTTGGGTAGATGGCGAGAAAATTTTGAGGAACTTTTCAATGTCGATGAAGAAAGGGAGGCGGTAATTTCATGCACGGGCCAGGGAGGTATACCATCTTTTAGGAGTGAAGGACAGGATATGAATGTGGGGGAGGTACATGAGGCATTACGTAGAATGAAAGGGGGTAAAGCAGCTGGAACTGACGGGATCATGACAGAAATGTTAAGAGCAGGGGGGGGACATGGTGTTGGAGTGGTTGGTATTTTTGTTTAATAAATGTATGGAAGAAGGGAAGGTACCTAGGGATTGGCAGAGAGCATGTATAGTCCCTTTATATAAAGGGAAGGGGGACAAAAGAGATTGTAAAAATTATAGAGGAATAAGTTTACTGAGTATACCAGGAAAAGTGTATGGTAGGGTTATAATTGAAAGAATTAGAGGTAAGACAGAATGTAGAATTGCGGATGAGCAAGGAGGTTTCAGAGTGGGTAGGGGATGTGTAGATCAAGTGTTTACATTGAAGCATATATGTGAACAGTATTTAGATAAAGGTAGGAAAGTTTTTATTGCATTTGTGGATTTAGAAAAGGCATATGATAGAGTGGATAGAGGAGCAATGTGGCAGATGTTGCAAGTATATGGAATAGGTGGTAAGTTACTAAATGCTGTAAAGAGTTTTTGAGGATAGTGAGGCTCAGGTTAGGGTGTGTAGAAGAGAGGGAGAATACTTCCCGGTAAAAGTAGGTCTTAGACAGGGATGTGTAATGTCACCATGGTTGTTTAATATATTTATAGATGGGGTTGTAAAAGAAGTAAATGCTAGGGTGTTCGGGAGAGGGGTGGGATTAAATTATGGGGAATCAAATTCAAAATGGGAATTGACACAGTTGCTTTTTGCTGATGATTCTATGCTTATGGGGACCCAAAAAAAAAAACGCAAAGGTGTACGAGTTCGGGAGTGGTTAAAGGTGAAAGTTGGGGAAATAAATAGAAAAATAAAGGGAGAGGGATGAAAGATTTTGATAAAGAAAAATTTGGGTACAAAAGGGGGGGGAGGAGTATGGGAAAAAGTGAAAGTTTTTTGTTTTGGGATGGACGGTCAGCGGGTGGTTTATGAAGGAGAGGTTTAAATCGAAGAATTTTATGAGGGGAAAAAAGGTAGCGGGGCTTGGGGGTATATGTGGAGACAAAAAAGTTATTAAGGAGGGAAAGAAAGGGGGTGATGAAAGTAAGAGTACCCAAAACCTTATATGGGGTGTGTCTTGGGTTTGAATGTTGCAGCGAGGAGGCAGTTGGAGGCAGGGAGATTCCTGTCTGAGGGGGAAAGGAAATGAAATATTATCAGAAAAATTTTAATGGGGGAAATTTGGGGAAGGTGTGGGTTAATAAAATATGAGTCAGAGGGCAGAGGGTTTTTGGGGTGGTTTGGCATTTAGAAGAATGGATCAAATAGAATACATGAAAAACATTTAAAATCGTAGGGGAAGAAGGGGGGTAGGGGGCTCCTCGAAAAAAGTTGGGGAAAGGGAAGGGGGGAAGGGAGGTTTTTTTGAGTGAGGGGGGTTGGGTTCCCGCAGGGCTGGAGTGTGTTCGATAGGAAAGAATGGGGAAAAAATGTATTTGGGACCCGTGACAGGGTAAA